TGTGCTTCCCTGTCATTGAACCTATCCTGTTCATCTATTGATTTTTAGAGTGGAAGGGAGGGAGGGTGGGGAGAGAGACACACATCGATTGGTGGTTTCCCACATGTCCCCCAAGAGAGGCTGGGGATTGAACCTGCAACCCAGGTACGTGCCCCTGACCAATAATTGAACCCACAACCTTTTGGTGCATGGGCCAACACTCTAACCACTGAGCCACACTGGCCAGGGCTCTAACATTTCTTTTGGTTAAAAAAATACATTTCTTTTGTCCAGAGTCATTTTCACATTTGTGTACTTGTACGGTGTGAGTACCTCATAATCTAAATGGAAAGGGAACCTCTTTCATTCCTTTTGGCAAAATTCTTGTTCCTCATCCCTTGGGTATGTGGCGGGAAATGTTGGCACGGGGATTTTTTGGTCCACATTATATTCTCCATCCTCTTAATTACAACCAGAATTGAGCTATTAACCCACCCTCCTTCTCTCCCAGGCCCGGTACGAAAGCCAGAGGATCCAACTGGAGTCAGAGCTGGCTGTGCAGCTGGAGCAGCAGGTGACAGAGCGGCTGGCACAGGCTCAGGAGAGCAGCCTGCGACAAGCAGCCTCCCTGAGGGAGCAGCACAGGTGCGCCGGTTACTGGATGCTGCCGTCCTCAGCCACACAGGTGTTGTTAGTGCCCTGCCCATACCCTCTCTGATCCCTTTATCATTGTCCAACATGCTGGCTCCGTCAGCGAGGACCCAAGTCTGTGCGACAGCTGCCTGCAGGTGCACTTAGAGAGGCCAGAGTGCTTGACGATTTTCATTCCACAGGGCTAGCCCTTACCCAGTAACTGATGGGTGCAGGAATATAAATTTCCCATCTACAGAGCTGCCCTGCGGAATTGAACTTCCTTCCCATCCCAGTCTCACTTCCCCTCACCCCCATTTCCCTACCAATTTTTTTCTGGAAATGTTTCTTAAATGAATCATCTTCCCATAAACCCTCATCTCTGTCTCTGACTCTGGGAACCCATCCTAAGGTACCGGCTTTGACCTTACCTCTTTCCTGAGCCCACTGAGCTGTGCCATGCTGGCTGCCTGTGGCTGGCTGTCTCTCGCACACTTTCTGGCTTTTTCTCATTTGATTACTTCTGTCTCCAGATTCAGTTCTCTTTTCTCAACTGTGTCCTCTTAGGAAGCAGCTGCAGGACCTAAATGGACAGCACCAGCAGGAATTGTCCACTCAGTTGACTCAGTTCAAGGTGGAAATGGCAGAACGAGAGGAAAGACAGCAGCAGGTGGCTCAGGACTATGAGCTCAGGTACTGGTCCTTGGAGTAGCCCTTTTAGGCTTGTCTCCTTCCTGCACATAGAGCCCAAACTGGGAATGGTGAGAGCTGCCCCCTGTCCTCTTCTACATTGGCTCCACTCCTTTCAGAATTTCCAAGGTCTGTCTGACATTCCGTTCTGGTTCCACTTATTCTCCAAGTCTTTGCTTTCTCAAAGGCTACCTACATCAGCTCTCCCGTCTTCTCTTCAGACTGGCCCGGGAGCAAGCACGAGTGCGGGAACTGCAGAGTAGGAACCAGCAGCTGGAGGAACAGCGGACCGAGCTGGTAGAGCGACTCCAAGCCATGCTGCAGGCCCACTGGGAGGAGGCAAACCAACTGCTCGGCACCTCTACCCTGCCTTCTAACCCCCCAGTAGGCATTACCCCTTAAGCTAAGCTGCTCAAAGTTGTGTTTGGGTCCCTTTGCAAATCTAGCTTCCTCCCAAGGGAAGTCTTAAGTTCAGGTCCTTGGACCTGCATTTAAAAAAAAAAAAAAGTGAACTTTCCCCAGAAATAACTGTCTCATGAAAAGAAATCTTTTTTCCCATGGCCATAGCTCACCCAGACTGGCCACATTGCATTGGCCTAACTCTCTTCTCCCAGCCCAAGAGGTGGTGAGGAACACATGATAGTTTTGCCAAATGGTGGTTGAATTATGATGTTAAGGGCCAAAATTGTTGCTAAGTCCTGCCCTAGAGTAGGCTTGAGAGTCTCACCCTGACCTGTCTTACGTTGGCATCTCCTACTTCTTTTAATTATGAAATTTTTATTATAAGCTAAAATTTTTTTTGGAATAGGTAGTAATATGCACATGGTAAGAAAAAAAAAATCCAAACAGGTCAAAAAGGTACACAGTGAAAAGTAATCTCCATCCCATTTCTGCACCTCAGTCTGCCAGTTACTCTCCCAAAAGGAGCCACTGTTACTGATGTCTTGAGTGCTCCCCCACAAATGATAGCCTTCTATGCAAGGTTGTATAATTTTTTATTTAACTCAGTACTTATTGGTGGAATTTAAAGTTGTTTTCTATAGTTTGCATCTACAAACTGCAATAAATATCATTAATATATGTTTTTGTGCAAGTGTATCTATAAAATTTCTACAAATGGAATTGTAAGATCAAAAATAAGCTTTTTAAAATTTGATAGATATTATCAAATCTTCTTTTAAGGAAATTCTACTAATTTGCTATCTTATTTAAAGTGTCTGTACCATGTTTCTTAAATGCACTGGGCTTTCTAATGACCCTTCTTTCTATCTCCCTCTTATACTCAGGCCCCGGCTGCCAGCTCCTCTAGCCCTGGGCCTCAGGAACGAGAGAAGGGGGAGAGGAGGATCTGGACTATGCCTCCCATGGCTGTGGCCCTAAAGCCTGTATTGCAGCAGAGCCGGGAAGCAAGGGATGAGCTGCCTGGAGTGCCGCCTGTTCTCTGCAGCTCCTCCCCAGATCTTAGCCTCCTATTGGACCCCACTTTCCAGAGCCAACATTCCTTCCAGCTCCTGGAGCCAAAGCCAGATCTCACTTCAGGTAACTGGGGACAGACATCATTGGGGTTCCCCTTACATGCACTAATTGGCTCCCTCTTACCTAGCTTCTTTTCTGTCTGGGGCTTGAGTATTTAGTTTCCCAGATGTCTGAGTGACCATAGGTTGCAAGGAGCAGAAATCTGCTCAGGTTGGTTTGAATAAAGGCAGTGAGATCTCATGGAAATGTGATATAGCTGGACCTAATGAGACCTGGAGTTTGGATCCAGCAGTGCTATCAGGAGCTAAGGCAGCTACTCCTCTTCAATTTGGGCTTGCTTGCATGGGCTCTTGACTGCTTCTCCCTGCACATCTGGTCCTCTCTTGGTAGACCAGCACTTTCTCTCACTCAAGGCTCTAGCTCTCTTAACTTTGCCTCGCACATGGATTTGACCAGCCATGACACTGATTCCAGCCAAGACTCTAGGTAACCTTATATAGACCATGGTGTCTCTGTTTCTTAGGTCCAATTTGAAGAGAGGCGATCTGATGGGTTGACAACAATCCCTTGGATTGGCTAACCTTGGGAGTGGTGTCCACCCTGGTTTAGTCATCTGCAACTTGGGTGGATGGGGGTGCTCTGTGTGGTGCAAACATGACAAGCCAGGTTGAATTAAGAATGAGGGATGCCCTGACCAGTGTGGCTAATTTGGAGTGTCGTCCTGTGCACCAAAAGGTCATGGGTTTGATTCCCAATCAGGGCACATATCCAGGTTGCAGGTTTGATCCCCTGTTGGGTGTGTGCAGGAGGCCAATCGATGTTTCTCTCTCACTTTGATGTTTCTCTTTCTCTCCCCCTCCCTTCCTTGCCCTAAAATCAATGAAAACATATCCTCTGTTGAAGATTTTTTTAATTAAAAAAAAGAATGAGAGATGAATTATATCACAATTTTAAATATAAAAATTATGTAATAATAAAAACGAATGAGGGCGTGTTCTGGTGAAGGGACCAAAACATGTCTATTAATCCTAAACCATTCTGAGTATTAGTTTCTCTTATTTAAGTAGTTTGTGGTGGTATTTATTTATTTAGAGTCTGAGTACCACAGCTTTCCCCTCCTGTCTATACTTCTTAGAATTCAGTTGTTCCGTCTCTCAGTCCCCTTCAGCCCTTCCCTCCAGCTATTTTAATTTTTTGTTATCTTCTTGCTGCAATGTCTCTCCTATATTTAATAGGCCTCTTTTTTTCTGGGCATTTGGTGAGTTGAGTTGTGGAGGAACCTGCAACATACACGTGTGCTTGTGTGCACGCACACACGTTTCATTTTACAACTGGGAACTTCTCTGCAGTTGGGGCCTTCCATTCCAATCAAAGAGCAGAACGGCCATTCCCTGAGGAAGATCCTGGGTCAGATGGGGATGGATTCCTAAAGCAAGAGCTGCCACCTCCTCCTCAGCTGGAGGGCCTCAAGCATTTTTTGCACCAGGTAAGAAAGGGCCCACTCATCCCACCTTATTTTCTTCTTCCTTCCTCATTTTCTCTCCCTACTCTAGGAGTCCAGGGCTCTGGCTTCATCTCCCTTTTAGGACTGATACTTTGTCCCAGCTTCTTACTCTCCCAGTCTAATTCCTATCTCGTAAGTCCTTTCTGGAACTTAGGTGACCAACCTTAGCTCTTCCTGCCCCAGCCTTTGCTTCCTTCAGATATCTAAGCCTCTTTCTTTGTTGGTCTTGAGGGAATCTTACTATCTTGTCCCCCCAGCTGCTGGAGACAGTACCCCAGAACAATGAGAACCCCTCTGTGGACCTGTTACCCCCTAAGTCTGGTGAGTGCCAGCTCTAAAGAAGGTTGGGGCTACGCCTGGAAAAGGTGGAAGTGGGTTACCTGGGAAAGATTTTAGGAGCTGGTAAAGTGATGAAGACTAATAAAGGCCAGGGCATAGGACCTCCTTGGCTCTTTAGCCCATTTCCTGATTCTTTGATTTCTTTCCTTTTGCTAGTTCCCCTGACTGTCCCATCTTGGGAGGAAGCCCCTCAAGTGCCACGCCTCCCACCCCCTGTCCATAAAACTAAAGTACCGTTAGCCATGGCATCTAATCTTTTCCGGGTCCATGAGCTTCCCTCAACCCATCTACAGAGCAGCGGTCCCAGCAGTGGCTCCCCAGAGAGGGGTAAGCAGGTCATGGTTTACTGGGAGATAAAAAGGGAAGGGGCTGGGTGTGGAGCCAGTACTTGGAACAAAGGCCCTTCTGGGTTCCTAGGGAGGTGGGATGAGGGCTGGGGAGAGGAGGCCTAGGATGACCACCATTACTGATACGTCTTTAGGTAGAGATGGGCTCACATCCTCGAGGCAGCTGATGGAGATGTCTCAGCTCTTACGACTATACCAAGCTCGGGGCTGGGGGGCACTGCCTGCTGAGGATCTGCTGCTCTACCTGAAGAGGCTGGAACATAGCGGGTACCAGTCTGGGAGGGAAGGGAGGAAGGGTTAGGTGGGTAGAGTCTGGATTGTGGGCAGGCAAGTGGATCAGGCAGAGAAGGAAAGGCATGTGTATGTTGTCCACGGAATACTCTGTTGTCCTTTTCTGGGGAAGAAAGTGGGGGTGAGATGTACGTACATCAGCAAGTCTCCTTCCTGCGTCTCACTGCTCCCACCTTTCTTTTGTCTCTTCCTTTCTACTTTGTTTTTTCTTTACTTCTAAAAAAGTCTCTGTGCAGCGTCTTTCTCCCTTAGTTTTTTCTTTGCCCTACAGCTCTTACCCTTGAGTCCTAGCTTGTGACTACCTAGCGTAACTCAGTATTTGAATCCGCTGGTATTCCTCGTGTTCAATTCCAGCTCTATCTTGTTTATTCTTATTCTTAAGAGACAGGGTTGGAGAGAGTGGGGGGCTGCTCCCGCATCCTCACCCCTTGATTTGTATGGCAGGACTGACAGCCGAGAGGATAGCATCCCAAGAAGGAACACAGACTCCCACTTGGGTGAGATCCCCCGGAAAGAGGTGAGCGAAAGCAGGGCGGACGAGGAGGGTGGAAGGGCTCTCGCTGACCAGTCCCTCCGACTCTGCGCGCCCTGGCTGGCTCCGTCCTCTGTGGCCTGTTCCCATTTTCTGTAGTGTGGTCACTCCCCTTTGCCGAATGCTCCTGGCCTTCTCCATGACGCCTTTCCTCGGTGGGGCGGGGTGGTCAGGGTACACAATGCTGACTTTCTCTCCTCTTTCCTTCAACTCTCAGATTCCTTCCCAGGCTCTCCCCCGCCGCCTTGCCACAGTCCCTAAGACTGAAAAGCCTCCAGCACGCAAGAAAGGCGGACACCCTGCCCCTACTAGCGTGAGGAGTCGGGCAGGAATCTGGAGATAAGTCCCTGCCCTTTCCCCTCTTTTTTGTTTTCTTCTTATTACTATTTTAATAAATGCTCAATAGTCTGCATTAGAGTCTGTGACTCTTAGGAATTTGGCAAATGGAAGTTTTGTAGGAAACTATTTTGTAAGGACCCTTACTTTATTCTGTTTGAGTATGTTTTTTATATGTTACGTTTCTATTTTATAGTCTGTGGAAAAAGACATGAAGACAGTCTTATGGCTAGATTGGTGAAGTTTTAATGAGCTAAGGTTCAATGTTTTGAAAATAAAGCCCACAGAGTGATTAGCTCTGGTTGGTAGTATAATTTTGAATGATTTTTATTTTCTTTATACATTCCTGTGTCCTCCAAATTTTCTAAAACAAGTATGTATTATCAATCAAAAAAACCAAACTTTTAATAAAAGAGTAAGTTATATAAAGAGTTTGAGTAAAAATTTAATTGTTAGAGAGACAGATCTCTCTTTTAAGAACAGGTAATGATATTAAGATATAACTTTTTTAAAAAATTTATTTTAGAGAGGAAGAGGGAGAGGGAAGGAGGGAGAGAGAAACAGCAATTGGTAGCTTCCTGTACACGCCCCAACCTGGGATCGAACCCTCAACCTAGGTGTGTGCCCTGACTGGGAATCGAACCTGCAACCTTTTGGTGTATGGGACAATGCTCCAACCAACTAAGCTACCTGCTGAGTGAGTGTTTTGAGGGACATAATTTACTAGATTCTGTGAGGCCCTTCTGTTTGCTCCTGAATTATTTGGTTAAATCCAGAATAGACATGATAGAATATAGACTCATATAGCATTTCATACTGATAAATGTTTAGGTCTTATTTCCTTCCACCTAAAAGTAACTTTCTAGCCCCTGAAAGAGGGAAAAAAGGAAGAAAAGATAAACACACCTGACCAGCAGCTGTATTGGTTCTCCTGCCCCAACTCTGGCCTGGACAGCATGGTCGTCAGTCTCACTCAGGACTTCTCCCCCTGGCAAAGAAACAAGAGGCACACTCGCACAGGCATAGCACTAGGCTCGGGGACCTTTCAATCTGTCTCTTCACCTGCCTGTGGAAATGTTTGCTTTTCTATTTTTTACCTCAAGTGCATAAAATTGATTTGACCAAACTCTGTGACTTATGGAACAGTATAATTTTGGTAGCAGAGGGTTTTATACCATTTTTAAAAGCTGGCAAAATGAACACCCAGTCTTATTTCATTATCTCTTGGATTCCAAGTTGCCACCATCAGTCAGCATGCCCTACATTTTTCTTAACATTAAAGACAGTCAGGAGAATATTTTCCAACTCCCCAGAACAAAATCAGAAAAGGGCAGAGTGCTGACTTAACCATTTTGTGAGCTAATTATTTTGATTTTTTGAAAATATGTTGTATCCACATTAAAAGTCTGCTTCTTCAAATACCGCCAAGGGGGCTGGGGAGGAGAAAACCAGCAGTCAAGCAGCCCCCCATTTTCCCCAATAATTGTCTTGGAAATATTTTGAGAGAGGAAAAAAAGATTTTTGGAGCTCTGTAAAAGCCCACATTTAGACGACATGGATGCATCCTTAAAACTCAAGTTTCACTTGGTATAGACAGGGTGTGATATGGGACTTTGTCTCCTGAGAACTCCCACAGCTACTTGGTATTGGTAGGGGAGGTTCTGGTGGTAGAATATGTTAGAGTAAAGGCTAAGCTGTTATAACAAAGAAACCCAATGGTACAGTGGCTTTGGGGCAAAGTTTATTTTCCTGGTAATGGTCCAGAGCAGTGGGGTGGTCCTGCTGCATATGGTCACCTACGTCTCAGGTTTCTTCCATCTTATTGCTCTGCTCTCCCCTATATCAGTGTTGTTATTTGTGTTGTTGAAGCAAGATCATTGTCATGGGGGACTCTCCGCTGGCAAGAAGGGAAAAGAGCCATGTCCAATGTCTTAAGACCCACCCTTGGAAATACCACACATCAATTTTGTTTTTATTTCATTGGCAAGACCTTGGTCACATGGCCACACCTGACTGCAAGAGAGACTCGAAAATGTAGCCTAGCTGGCTGCCAGGCATGCAGCTATAACTCTGTTACTGTGCAATAGATCTCCTCAGGAGGAAGTAAGAATAAATTTTGGTGGACAACTAGCAATCAATGTTGACTGTGCAGATAATGAAAAAATGTGCCAGACCATGTAAATTCATCCAACTGTGTCAAGCATTGCTGAGGATGTAGAGCAATAGAACCCCTCTTATGCTCTGCTGGTGAGAGACCCAGGAGAGGAAACGCAGATCACTTTGGGAAAGGTTTTGGCACTGTGTAGGAAATGTGATGGTGCTCACACCTTACAATGCAGTGAAGCCGTCCCTGCGGAGGTGCCCTAGAAAAACTTGCCTGTGTGTGTGCCAGAAGACAAATATAAGAATGTCACAGTGAAACCTGCAATTCAATGTCCATCAGCAGTGGTGGATTCATATAATGAAATACCACACAGTAGTACAAATGGATGAGCTAAAGTTACATGCATCAATATGGATGAATTTACAAACATAATGTTGAGTGGGAAAAGCAGATTGCAGAAGAAAATATCCAGTACACTGTTTATGTAAAATTTGAAAACAATCACAGCACAGTCTAGTCCCACATGGGAGGAGGGGGCCCTCACAGGGGGCAGCTGGCTCAGTGTTGGAGGTGAGAAGCGAGTCCATTGGCAGGGGCGGGGTGAGAGAGGGCATCTGTGTGAGGATGTGGTGGGAGACTGTTACATACGGGGGACTGATCAAATACGTAAATATATTATGAACAATGTTAGCTAGGTTTCTCACTGTTGAAGAAAGGATTTATAAATTGGAAAGGGAGAAAACTAGAATGAATTCTGTGGGGTTGAGTTAGAATTGAATGCATCAGTGTAGACTTGTGGTCTTCAAAATAGATATGGAAGTACATATAAATGTAAACTGGTATATGTACACACACACACATATTCCCGAGCAATATCCTGTATTTTCCTAGGATTGCTCTAACAAATTATCACAAACTGTGTGGTATTACAGAATGGACATTTATTCTCACAGTTCTGGAGGCTAGAAGTCTGAAGCAAGGTGTTGGCAGGGCCACGTTCTCTGAAGGCTCTTGGGGAGGGTACTTCCTTACCCTCTTCCTAGCTTCCCCCAGGGGTTACCAGTGATCCTTGATGTTCCCTGGCTTGTAGACACATCAATCCAATCTCTGCCTCTGTTGTCACATAGAGTTTTCTCTGTCACCCTGTGTCTTCACATGCCCTTTTTATTTCTTTAATCCTTATTTGAGGATATTTTTTCCATTGCTTTTCAGAGAGAGTAGAAGAAAGAGAGGGAGAAACATTGATGTGAGAGAGACACATCGATTGGTTGCCTCCTGCAGGCATCCTGACCTCTCTAGGGATTGAGCCTGCAACTGAGGTATGTGCCCTTGCCTGGGAATCGAACCCATGACCCTTCGGTTTGTGGGCCAATGCTCTAACTACTGAGCCAAACCAACCAAGGCTATAATTCTTTTTGGCATTATTTTGCTATATCAGGGACTTCAAAAATTTTTTAAAGAGCCCTGGCTGGGTAACTTAGTTGGTTACAGCATGGTTCCCACTCCAAGGGTGTGAGTTTGATCCCCAGTCAGGACACATACAAGGAGCAACCAATGAATACATCAATAAGTGGAACAACAAATCAATGTTTCTCTCTCCCTTCCTCTTTCTCTCTCAATAATTTAAAAAAAAAAAAAAAAAAAAAAAAAAAAAATCTTATAAGCACAGCATTTAACTAATAATATACATGAAAATCCAGTAATAGCCATTTTGAACATAAGCTTAAATTTCAGACAACTAATGAAATCTTAACCCAATTTATTTTTTGTANTCTCATTAAAACTTTAATTTTTCATGTGGTACCACTTTTTACTGTTTGAATTTTATTTTTACCATGAACATGGCTTTCCTTTTTAAATTATAATGTAATAATAATATCTAATAGTCAAGAGTTGGTGAACAAAATGTCTAGCATCTGTGCTGAGATGATTTAAGGCTGGCTCTGCGCTCCAAAGCCAGGATTTCCAACCACGTTTTGGCCTCAGCACTGAGGCTGCAGTTGTGTTGCATCAGTGCAGGCAGTCAGTGCTGCTGATGTTGACAATTTATCACCCCTGCCTTTTGGGTTGACTAGGGAAGAACTACCAACAGCCACAAATTAAGTGTTTGTGTGCAGCAAAGTATGAAGATTCCTTTGTATCGGGGTGGGGGGTGTCTCTGGTGAGGGTAAACATGGGACATGAATATTTATAGGTTGTATTAGTCAGGATTCTCCAGAGAAACAGAACCGACAGGATGTGTGTGTGTGTATATAAATATATATACAGAGAGAGAGACTTATTTTAAGGAATTGGCTCACATCATTGTGGAATCTTGGCAAGGCCAAAAATCTGCAGGGTAGGCCTGCAGTCTGGAGACGGGTAAGAACTGCAATTCGAGTCCAAAGGCAGTCTGCTGACAGAATTCCTTCTTGCGTGGGGAGGTCATTCTTTCTATTCAGGCCTTCAGCTGGTTGGATGAACCCACCACATTATGGAGAGCTATCTGCTTCAACTCAGATATTTAAATGTTAATCAGCTGATAATAGAAAATCTCCCATAAGCTGTTAGGGATGACAGCATGCCAGATTCTGGTTCAGTCCCTATTATAAATCGTCCTTGACTTTTTAATGTGTATTTTCCCCCCTTTAAAGAGAGAGGAAGGGAGAGTGAGAGAGAGGAAAACATTCATGTGAGAGAGAAACATCTATCAGTTGCCTCTCGTTCATGCCCGACCAGGACCAGGTATTGAACCTGAAACCTGGGTATGTGCCCTGACCGAGAATCAAACCCATGACCCTTCCATGCACAGGACAATGCTCCAACCAGCTGAGCCACGCTAGAGAGAAATATTGAGGTGGGAAAGACACATCGATTGGTTGCCTCCCGCACGCACCCTGGGATCGAGCCTGCAACCGAGGTACGTCCCCTTGGCCCAAATAGAACGCGGGACCCTCTGGTCCACAGGCCTACACTCTAACCGCTGAGCCATGTCAGCAGGGCAGATATGCAAAAATTGAGGTAAAATTTTAGCAACCAAAATATAACTTTAAAAGAAACATACACTTTAAACAGTCTATTTTCCCCCCTGTAAAACTCAAGCCATCAGCGTAACTAATGATATTACTGTAAAAAATTGTAAAAGTTCATATGATTATTTTTATAAAGCCAAAAGGGAATTCTTCATTGAAACACTTCCTAAAAGCAATAAAGGATTGCCTCTTTAACATG